GAAAATCACCACGTTGTGTCTTGCAAAAGAAACTATTATACACAAACGAAAATAATTTCATACCTGGAATCAAGTTTTACATATAAATTATAAAGTGCATCATGGATAATGATGTCTGATTTGTGTGTATATCTTTGATTGACTTGATAGAAAATGCTTTCATTTAGCAAAGACCTCAATTTTTTTTTTTGTTAAAGTGCACTTAATTTAAACGTACTATGTGACATCCCCGATTTGACGGCCAGAAAAGACCGATTTGTTTATGCTTTATTTGAAAATCAGAGTATACTTTTGAAGAAATATGTTGCGGAATTTGTTCCCAAAAATATGATAAGTAAATTATCAAGCATTCCCGAAGGAATGGGTTTTCATTATATTAAAAGCACTGGGGTGTCATTGTTAATACAGTACATAAGCATAAACAAAAATAATACAGGCCTTACAACATCTGTTATTCTAATGGCCTATAATCTATTGATTTCTCATCATATCAACACTCCCGTGCTCTTTTTCCACTACCTGTAATGCAAGAAACTGAGTGGGTCGGGCTTGGGAGCCTGGTGAGCACATAGGGTTTTCAACCCACAATAATTAAGTTTATTAATTTCATCAATCAATCAACCCTGTTACCCGTTCCCGTTATCCTCACTTTTTGTCCCTAAAGCATCTAAAGTAAGGGACCTAGCCTACAGATTTTTCATCGGGGCGACAACTATGTGTAGGGGATTCCTCAGGAATATATGTCAAAAGGCAACCATGGGGGAATGGAGTACACCTGGTGAACACATAGTTCAAAAACACCTACAGGTTGTGAGTCTGCCAACGTTCCACTAGACTGTCTAGAATAGTTTGTGGTCGTCATCTATACTCCGCTAGATGACTGGATCATCTTAAACATCGAGGCCTCTCATCATTTATTTCATCATCTATATCATCTACCCATCTTTACCCATCATATTTATAGGCACAAAATACATATACAGTTTAAATCGAATAAAACATGTATATTTTGTTCATCCAGCATAGATATCAAGAACACAGATAATATGCACACATAGCACGTAATTTTTATTAAATACTTCATATATATGTGTAAGATGAAAGTAACTATGCACTCACCTAATGTAACGAATGTATATCTCACTTCCCAGTAGTTTTCAATGTGTTTCCTCAATCTAAACAGTTAAAAATTAAATCTAATGTTACCAACCTAATAATCATAAGCTATAATATAACTAATAATAATATTTTTGTTATTTAATAACGATTCGTTAATTATTTTATATGAACCTTCTTGGTCTAATATAAAAATGGTTTATTTTTAAAAGAATAATAATCTGGTTATAGCTATATCATGGTCGTTGATCCAATATTTCATTAAATAATTGAAAAGGGATAAAAATGGTATGACCAAAAATATAACGGCAACATATTTATGAAAATTATCTAACGTCTTAAATTTATAACAATGAGTTTATAATGATAGATTATATTTAATATAAGTATAAAAAGTTTACCTTTAAACTTCTCAATTTTTGACGATCTTTGACTCTATTTATATTATGGAGAATACTTATTTTTGGACAATAATCCGATCGAGAATCACCTATTTATACTTCCATGAAAATACCATCCTACAAAGTTTCTTTGGCGGCTAAAACAAAAATATATATTAAAATACGTGTTCATCAAAATCCTCATACATACATGTTACAAGCTCATCAATTCTTAGATTTAAGTAAATGACTCATCCCTACGTTTTGTAACTATATCCATATGAATATATTATTATTATTATTATTATTATATATATATATATATATATATATATATATATATATATATATATATATATATATATATATATATATATCAAAACATGCCACACATTATTATGACTAAAATTTATTTCTCTATTTGTTTATATTTTTCCTTCCACATTAATTTATTTCATTAATATAAACATATATTTGCACAATTACTTTTTATGTTTTATTTTTCTATATAAAAATAACTATTTGATTAGCCTTACCGATACGAAAATATATATTGCTTAATTTATAACTTACGATTATACATAGTATATGTCTATGTCTAAATTAGGATAATAAAATTATATAAATATAACATGAACACGAATTATTTCCAAATAGATATCATTTTATGATCTATTTGAATTTAATTATCAATAACTAACGTCGTAAAACTAGGTGTAACACAAAAAATATCGTTTCACTACTTTGGTTCACCCTTTAAGATATTTAGACCAAATACGTCTTCTATTGTTTGAGATTTTACGGTCATTACAATTTTCGTTAAGATTATTTATACTAAATAATCTTTTTATTTTTAACGTTTATTTTTGCCATATTTATTAAGTTTTTAAAATATTTTTTTTACACAAATATTATATACACATAATATTTGTCAAATTTCCAAGCATATAGTATATAAACTAATAAATATATATACTCGAATAATCTCTTTCACTTATTTATAAAAGGTTACAATCGTCGATCGACGTAAATACATATTTTATAATTACGCCAAACAGGAAACGCGGACATTACAATTATCCCCCCCCCCCCCCCCCCCCCCCCTTAGGATGATTTCGTTCCGGAATCATGCATCAGCAAACAGATTTGGATAACGACTTCTCATGTCACTTTCTGTCTCCCAAGTGAGGTTCGGATCATTCGTATGTTTCCATCACACCAACACTAATTCGACCATCTTACGTCGCAACTTTTTCGTCTTATGGTCAATAATTGCGTCGGGCTCCTCAATTAGCCTCTTGTTTTCATCGATCCTTTCCTTCATTAGACAAGAAAAGATTGGAAAGGGATGTTAGTCGGCTCGGAGAAGTTGTAGGCCCCAATAAAAAATATCAAGATTCCTACCGGCTGATGTAGGGTGGGATAAAGTTGCTCTCGAGAACTCTGAAAGTGGGATCATATCGGGTTCTTCACCCAAGAACTTTCTCAAATAACAAACGTGAAATGTGTTATGGATACCTTCCAGTTCAGCTGGCAACTCCAACTTATAAGCTTGATTTCCAACTCTCTGAAGCACTTCAAATGGTCCAATGAATCTTGGACTCAACTTCCCTCGTTTTCCAAATCTGATTAGTCCTTTCCACGGAGAGACTTTGAGCAATACCAAATCTCCACCTTCAATTTCTCAGCAGTCTGATGGACAATCTCAGGACCCATAAACTGCTTTTCTCCAACTTCAAGCCAACAAGACGGCGTACGACACTTCTGTCCATACAATGCATCATAAGGTTCCATCTTAATGCTCGAATGATAACTGTTGTTGTAGGAAAATTCCACTAGCGGTAAGTACTCATCCCAGTTACCTGGAAATTCCAAAGTACATGCTCGTAACATATCCTCCAATGTTTGAATCGTCCTTTCACTCTGACCATCAGTCTGGGGATGGTAAGTTGTACTTAAACACAGTTTTGTACGCATTTCCTCTTGTAGACTTTTCAAAAATCTTGATGCGAAACGACTGTCACGATCCGATACAATCGTTAATGGTACACCGTGAAGTCTTAGTAAGATATTTCTCAGTTGATTCAACTATGTTCGTCTTCATCTTTTCTCTTAGTTTATTTCTCAATGGGGGGTTAGGTGCCATAAAATCCGGGTTTTGGCGTTTCCCTAATATCGATGATGAAGCGGTAGACTCGGCAGTACTTGAAGTGGAACTTGGAGAATGAATTCTAATATAATCATTATATAATTCGTACATAGAATCCATGATATATTTCTTTTTGGCCTCCACCCCTTTTTCTCCATAACGATCCTCAAGTAGTATAACCAAATACTTTACTTTGTTCCTTGGATCAAGAATCAAAGCAAAGTAGAGCAATAAATTCATTTTTTCTACGTCGCCAAAATACTTATCAAACTTTACTTTCATGGCCAATGCAATATCACAAAGACTGGAATCGGAAATAGCATCATCCAAGAGCGTACGAATGGAATATATATCTTCAATGCATGTGTTTGATGTCACATAAAGTGTCCCGGAAATCCTCAAAGTAACATCATGAAAATGTTTTAAAAAATGACATACATTCCTAACCCTTTCCCAATCGTTTGATGAAGGTATCGACAAACCCGCCTTTTCAATTTCGTACCGAAAATCAAATTCCTCAAGATCATATCTCTCAAAAGTTTTTTCGTAAGCTTGTGCAATTTCCAACATATGGTAAGTAGAGTTCCATCCTGTTGGCACATCTCTCTTCAAGTGTTTTGTTATACCAGGATTAGCAACCTTAGCAAACTCGATAAACTTATGAATTCTAGATGGCGATCGCCTAATCCATTTAACCGCCCATCGAACTATCTCAACCGCCTTATCAACTTTTTTTATGCCATCTTGCACCACTAAATTTAAAATGCGGGCAACACATCGAATATGCATCCATTTCCCATTTAGAAGACACGTGTTGGAGTTTTGAAAACTTTTTTTCAAGAAGTCAATTGCCACATCATTCGCACTTGCATTGTCAACATAAATTGTGAAAATATTTTCTATTTCCCACTCTATTAAACATTTCTCAGCCATTTTTCCAATATCAACCCCACGGTGACTCTCTTGAGAAGAAAAACACAAAAAAAAAAAAAATTCAACTTCCATTCGTTATCAATAAAGTGGGCGGTGAGACACATATAACATGATTGTTGTTTAGAAGTCCACGTATCGGTGGTCAAACATATTCTACCAACGTTTTTTTTAATAAAGTCACGAATTTTTTCTTTTTCGTCTACAAATAATTGGTAGACATCCGTTGTACTTGTACTTCTACATGGAACTTTAAACAATGGTTGAGTAACACTATTGTAATACCTAAAGCCCGCACCTTCTACAAAGCTAAAAGGAAGTTCATCAACTACCAACATGTGGGCTAGAGCCTTACGACTCTCATTTTGATCAAATTTCCAAGTTGACAATTTGTTTTCATCACCATATTGGAAAGTTAGTTGTTTCTGCCCACCACTAAGTTTATCCAAGTAAGTTTTACATTTCGTTAAATGATAACCTAGATTTTTGGTCCCATAACCACTTGATTCGCACTTGTAATTCCCACCACAACAATGCTTACATTTGCATCTTTGAACACCGTTTTCATTCTTATACCTTTCAAATTATTTCCAAACTTTCGATCTTGGGTTGAATTCTTTAGTTTTTTTCTGTTTTTCTTGTGTAACTTGATCATTGGTTGGGTTTTCAACTTCAATTGTCTCATCTTCCACTTCAATATAGTCATCCGTATTTGACATCTAAAACAGAAAAAAAAACTGTTAAAAAACATAATAATCATGAAAAAAAATTGATAAACAGAAAAAAACCAGAAAGATTGTTAATTCCAAGGTAAATATCCATTGAAAGGGTTCATGACAAACTAGCTAGTGTTCCGGGATTGTGTTTATGCGATAATAACATGAAAACTATCAATTATAAAACAAACATTTATAAAACAACAGAGCATAATTATAGTACAAGCATTTATAAAACAACAGGGCATGACAATCACTAATTAATTATCAATAAGTTAAAACACTAATTAGCAACTTTTGACAGCAAACCGTAAATAAGAATAGCAACAAACTTTAAATCAAATAGTCAAATGAGAATCTAGAATAACAAATAACTTAGCTGTCTGTTAGTGTATATTTGACTTGCTCTAGTGTCCTTTTGACAAATTTGTTTTTTTTTGTATTTTATATTCATTTTTCATAATTTAAAATCATTAAAATTAAAAAATAAAATAAATGGGCCATATTACCCTTACCTTCTAAATTACTATCATATTGTTTTTTTAATTCGTTTTTCCTCATAAGTAAAAGAAAGGATTAATCGACTGTTTCATATAAATTATTGTGAGTATGCAAGTCAAAGTTTGACTTGTGAATCATGCGTTTATATTCTAAAAAAAATGAAACTTTTAACATTATTTCGTTTTGGAGGGTAAAGTTCAAGAGTTCTTGCGATTTACAAGAATGACAGATTACGAAGATAAGGGCAATGAGTAATCGTCATTCGGCACTTTAATATCATCCGAATTGAGAAAAACAATAGCAAGTATCCAATGATAATATATGAAAATTTGCAAAACATGTATTGTATACATAGAAAAATGTATAGACAAAACAGGGGAGGATTAGCAAAATGTATAGACAGAGGACGACTAGCTAAAGCCAATTACTGTATCGAAAGTGCACCTGAATACCCGATGACCCGGCGAGGCGGCGACCAGCTGATGACCGGCGAGGAGGCGGCGACGACTAGCTGAAGCTGATTGACCGGTGACGAACGATGACGAGTGGACTGCGAACGAGGGTTTTCTTTTGACGAAGAGAAAATAGAACGAGGCGACTTGGATTTGGGACTAAGACTAATTAGGACGGATAAAGGGATTTCATCTGATAAACTCATAGAGGGATTTCATCATATGTTTTGGGCCCGTTATTATTAAAGAAATTTTGGACAATCGGGTATACCCGAATCCCAACAACCTTACCCTTTACCCGACCTGAAAAAAAATCGGGTTACCCAAATACCCAAAAAAATTAACCCGATATCCGAATTACCCGACCCGATTTACCCGATACCCGAAAAAATCGAGCGGGTAATTCGGGTAACGGGTATTTTCGACAGGGCTAAGTCTTACTATCTCTTTCACGTAAGCATTTGCAAGCTTATCCACAGACCATTTCTCATTGGCTGCTATGAAGTGTGCACTCTTTGTGAAACCATCTACGACTACCCAAATCATGTCGTGACCGTTCTTCTTTTTGGGTAGTTTAGTCACAAAATCCATGGTGATGTCTTCCCATTTACCCATGGGTACATGTAAAGGTTCTAAACTCTCATATGGTTTCTGATGTTGTGCTTTAACTCTCGCACATGTCACACACTTGGCCACATACTTTACAACATCGAGCTTCATCGTCGGCCACCAGTAGTAGGGTTTCAGATCCCTATACATCTTAGTGTTATCGGGATGAATTGAGTATATGGTCTTGTGAGCTTCATCTATCAGAATATCCCTTATTCTTCCCATCTTAGGTATCCAAATCCTATATTGGAATACCTTCAATCATTGAATGTTTGTATCGAACACCAACGTTTTGCCTAAATGTTCTTCCTTTCGGTCATTTTTATCCGAAGCTTCTTCCTGAGCTTTCTTAATGCTTTCCACAATTGTCGAGACAACTTCAATTCTTAACGCTCTTGGCCTTTTTCTTTCCAAGTTTACCTTTCGACTTAGAGCATCAGCTACAATATTTGCTTTACCAGGATGGTAAATTATCTCACAGTCGTAATTCTTGAGTAACTCTAGCCAGCGTCGTTGTCTCATATTCAATTCCTTTTGATTAAGAGATACTGGAGACTCTTATGATCAGTAAAAAGTTTACATTTCGTGCCATAAAGATAGTGCCTCCAGATCTTTAGTGCGAAAACTACTGCTGCCAACTCCAAATCATGAGTGGGGTAGTTCAATTCGTGGACTTTCAGTTGTCGAGATGCATATGTTATTACTTTATCTCTTTGGGTCAGAATACAACCTAGCCCAACTCCAGATGTGTAACGCCCGGGTTTCGGGGCTAAGCATTATCAGACGATGTAATAGTCTAGGTCAACTATTGTAACTCTTTTGAGATAATAAATATGAAATATTTGAGTACTATGTGAATTATGTGTCTTTATGTGCTTATTACTTATTTATAAATATATAATAAATAAAGGATAAAAATAAGCGTCCAAAATTAAAGTATGAGATAAGCCCGATATCTTTACATAAAGTTGTAGCGGTCGAAACAAGGACTCCGGATATATAAAGAATGCCGAAATCCGAGTTATAACGAAGAAGTTATGACCCGTCGAAATTTCGCGACGGAACCGGCACGACACCGGGAAGTGTAAATAGTGAATTTACGATAGAAGACTTTTTAGCCTTAGTAATCTAAACAAAAGTCATAGAATATATTAAACCGAGAACATCCATAAAAAGAACGCCCAAATCTGACTTCGTATGAGGAAGTTATGATTTTTCTAAGATTTGGCATAGCAGTGCACGACCCGAAACTCGAATTTTAGTTCGAGCGGTTTTTAGCTTACGTGAACTAAATGAGAGTTGAAGATCTCATTAATAGGAACTCAACGGTAAAAATACAGATGAAAACGGAGTCCGTATGAAGGAGTTACGAATTATTCGCAGTCATTTAACAGTCTAATCTCCTCCTACTGTTAAATTTAAGATCGGTCGAGAATTAGCCGACGAAGTCTAAATGAAAGTTGTAGATCTTGTTTTTACCTACGCGTGGAAAAAAAGAACGTCGAAAACGGAGCTCGTATGCGAGAGTTATGATTTTTCTAAGTCGGGAGGCTGCTGTGCGAAATCGGGTGACGTGGCGAAATCCTGGCCGTTGCTTCCTCCCCAAGGCTAGTCACCAGAAGGTGACATGTGGGATGGACTCGACGAGTAGAGCTGCCAACCTCACTATAAATAGAGGTGCCAGGTTCCCTCATTCTTCACACCTTCCCATCTTCTCCTTCTCTCTCTAGAACTCCTCTCTAGCCCCCCTTAAGCCCCCTAAAGTCTAGGTAAACCCCCTAGCACCCGAAGGAAGCCCCGAGGCTCCCGGGGTCCCGAGAAAAAGGGTCTTTCGGTTCAGAAACGCTGCTCCAAGCAAAGCCCGGTTTTCTATAAAACCCGTTGTAAGTGAGCTATGCCTACGCTATTTTTAATATAACTTTTATAGTAACGTTATTAGGAACTTATAATAAGTACTTGGGCTATTATTATGGGTTATATAAGTATTTTTTAACGCTTATATAATAGTAATAATAGCTAGACTATTAATTAGTCGTGGTTAACGTTAAACTAAACCCTAGTGGTATTGATACTAGGGTTTGTCAAGGGAAAATTGTTTTGAGATAACGAAGTGTTGTCCGAGTACCGAGTCACCACCTTACCAGGTGAGTGCATAGTCCCTTTCATCTTACACATAGATATGAAGTATTTATTATAAACTACGTGCTATGTGTGCATATTATCTGAATACTTGTTGTCTATGCTGATGAAAGATTTTTATACATGTTTTAAATGATTTAAACTTTATATGTATTTTATATCTACAAAAATGTTGGGGTAAAACATGGGTAGATGTAATAAAACGATGTGTGATAAAATGATGAGAGGCTTCGATGTTGTTGGTGATCTAGTCATCTAGCGGAGTATAGATGACGACCATGGACTCTTCTAGACAGTCCAATGGAACGCTAGCAGGCTCGCAACCTGTAGGTGTTTGTGAACGATGTGTTCACCGGTGTACTTCATCCCCCTCATGGTTGCCTATAAGACATTTATTGCTGAGGAACCCCCTTGGCAGTAGTGTCCATCCCGATGATGATCCTTAGTCTAGGTCCCTTATGATAGGTGTTTAGGGACGTAATGTGAGGATAACGGGAATGGGTAATCGGGTTATTGTTGGATGTTGAAAATAATTAAACTTATTTATTGTGGTTTGAAAACCCTATGTGCTCACCAGGCTCCCAAGTCTGACCCACTCAGTTTCTTGTATTACAGGTAGTGGTGCACGAGCATAGATATGATGTTTGGGATGAGAGATTACAAATATAGGCCTGTAGATATGAATAAATGTAGTAAGGCTTATATTGTACGGTTTATGCTTTTGATCTGTATCGAACATGACATCCCGAGGTTTTTAATGAAATACATTTCTACGGAAATGCTTTGATAAATCTTTATCATATTTTATTTTGGGAACAAATTCCGCAACACTTTTATTTAAAATGTTACTCTGATTTTTAAACAAAGCATAAACAAAATCGGTCTTTTCTGGCCGTGAAAATGGGGATGTCACAAGATGCATCACTATAAACTGCGAAGTCTTCCACTCCATCGGGTAAGGAAAGAATTGGTGCTTCACACAACTTTTTATTTAACTTCACAAAAGCTTCTTCATGCTTCTCACTCCATATGTAGGTAGCCCAACACCAAAGATGAACCCCAAAGGTCAATATCACCCCAAAATGTCTAAAAAACTTCTTAATACCTTAAGACCTCAATCCAAACTTCCAGATTTGATTTCAAGGGACTTCTTAAGTCATAAAGTTTCCAACTTTATGACTTAACATAACTCAGTGGGACCCAAATCAAAACCCTAAGTCCCAAACTTCATCAAATGACTACCAAATCATGCATGGAAGGTTTATACCCATCAAGATCCAAACTTTATGACTCCAAAACCTCAACAATGACCAAATATGAAGCTCAAAGTTTCTGGAGTAACTTCTACTCACAAGAACCACCTCAAAGGGACCAAAACCATAACAAAATACCACTTATCTAGATCTACATGAAAGAGTTGTCAAGTTTGATACTTTATACCTCCAGAAGATAGATGTAGGTGCACAAAGCTTGGATCCAAAAGCTCCATGTCAAGCAATGACTCTTTAAGAAGTTCCTTTTTCTTCCTCAAGCACCAAAAACACACATAAATCACTTTGAAGCTCAAAAATCACTCAAATGGAGGCTAGAGTTTCGTTCTTAGGGTTAGAGAGGATGGAGGTTGAAGGGAATGAGGGTTGGAGGTGAGTTAAGGTCTTTAAATAGGGTCAAGACCCTAATTTAGGGTTTTAATCTGTCCTGACGAACGTAACGCATTCCCTTGGGGATCGCAGGGCGTTCCCAAACGCACTCGCGTCCAAATTCCCGTGTACGCCATGCGTACCTCCCTTGTACGCCATGCGTACCCGTTTTGGCCCAACACCCCTCTAACTTCAAATGGTCATAAGTTTTGCATCCCTTATCCGTTTTCGACGTTCTTTATATCCACGAAAAGGTAACGAGAAGTCCTACACTTGTATAAACTTTATTTAGTCTAAAAGCCAACCTAAATTAAATCCAAAATTCATAAAAGGTCCGAACCAACGCCTTTACCGATACCCTTGGGTTCCAAAACACAAACCGAATACCCGGATCATCCAAACTACATCATCCACCTCCAAATGAGCCTAAACTCAATCCTTCAAGGGTTCTAAGTCTGCTAATACCCATTCCTTGATCACCACCCCGCAATGGGAAAAGATACGAAACAGGGCGTTACAGCTCGTCGAGCTTCTTCCTTCGTCGGAGATGCGCAATGAGTGAGTGAGCGTGAGACAGGAAGAGATGTAGAGAGAAAGGTACTAGATTGGTAATCAGATATTGCTTCAAATGGAAGCATTTCACTGCACAAACCAAAAGTCTTCATTGACTTTTGGTTAGATATTTTTGAAAATAAATAAGTATAATTTATTTGGTGATGTAAATCCCAATTTCTCGATTCTCGTGCTATCATACGGTTTTCTAAAATTTTTACAAAAGTGCGTGCTTATTGTCTCGGTCGTTGTGATTCCAAAAACGT